CTATCAGCTGCTCGTGGGAGCGCGGCGTGCGGGCAGTGGCCGGCGCCCTTCTGGCCGCCTGCAGTAAAGGGGCACGGCGCTCCTCGTCCCCTGTACAGTATTTGCTGAGATTGCAGGCGTCTATGTGTGTGGGGGGGGAGAGAGGGGGTTTAAGCTGTATTTATAGTTATGGCGGCTTTGCGCGGGTATCTGAAACTTACTCTTCAGGAAATACCAGGTAATAGAATGAGCTGCAGAAGAATTGGACTGAGCTTTACAGGATGTCTGTATTCCAGGCCTGTGTACCACACTGACAGAGCTGCAGTGGCAAAACTGAAGGGACATGTGGGAAATGCCCTGAGAGATATAACAGTTTCCCTGACATTATAGCATATTTCTGTTGCTACAATGATGAGACAGCGCAGAGGCAGAAGAATTGGACTGAGCTTTACAGGATGTCTGTATTCCAGGCCTGTGTACCACACTGACAGAGCTGCAGTGGCAAAACTGAAGGGACATGTGGGAAATGCCCTGAGAGATATAACAGTTTCCCTGACATTATAGCATATTTCTGTTGCTACAATGATGAGACAGCGCACAGACAGAGACAGAAATAAAGGCAGACCTTATCTCTAGCTGCATAGGACTGGAAGAGGCAGCATAGGAGCCCCTTAGGTGGAAGGAAGGTAAAGAGTTATGGAACCCAGAAAAGTTACAAAAACTTTGCTAGTATTTATTATAGCCTCCAGCTGTAGATTGTTGGGAGGGAATTTTTCCAGTTTTAGATAAGATAGTGTGTAATGATTGCGCTTCTAACCTTGGGCTGTTTCTCAGGCGCTGGATGGCTGAGCTGCAGTTGGCTTTGTTTCCACCTGTGGATTCTGTGGTGGCAGCTCCCAAGTTTCCAGTGACAGGAAGATACGATTCTGAAGTCCCAGTCCGCCAATCCCAGCTGGAACACTCGAAGAGCACCTTTCATCACAAACTCCTACGTGACAAAGAGGAAAGTTTAAAGGATCTCTACACTGAAAAAAGCCGAAGCTATTCGGCTTCGAAGTATTCTCTTTCAGCAGAAAGCAGTCAACACAGCTCCAGACAGGAAGGCTTCTGTTTAGCTGGACTCCAGAGCAAATATCTCACCAGCCAGGCCAAGACTCTGCCATCTAAATCAATAGCCAGACGGAGAGAAGGGGTGGACCGTTCATATCCCCTGAAACCAATCTTTCACCGCAAGGCTGGAAGTGTTCCAGTGGTTAACAGAGGGCAACTCAGAAGTCCCCCATACATGGAGGAATCTCTAAGTAGTCGGCCTAGTTCAAAGAGCAAAGGGAAGCCTGCAGTAGGGAGATCTCAGCTAGCTGCAGTGCTGTCTCCTTGGACAGCAGAACCAAAACAGTCAGCCTCACCCCTATACAGGAGAGAGCTGGCCTACATCCTAAGGCTGGAGGCAGATGGACGGAATCTGGAAGAGGAAATCCGAAAGAAAGAGGCCCTCCTCAGAGAGAAGCTGAGGAGAACAAAGGAGGAGCTTAGGAGGATTCAAAGAGAGAAGGAGCTAGTGGAGGCAGAGGAGAGAAGAGCCAGAGAAGCAGAGAGGACCACTGAGCGAAAGGCCACAAGGCACTCTGAAGAGAACGTTTACAGAGTGGCAGTCAGGCCTGGTGATGGGGACTTTGAGAGGGCGCAGTCTCCAGAGGTCACTAGGTCCAAGCCAGGCACCAGCCTCCATCCCCAAGAGCTAGCTATGGGGAAACTCAAGAAGGAACGTTTGGTGGCCAGCAATAGCAAAATACGAGACCGCTTATCTGGAGAGGATTTAGCCTCTTGCTCAGAGCCAGTCCCAAAACAGAGCCCTTCTCCCTCTGCCTTCTCAGACCAAGAATCTGGTGACCACTTAGCCACAGAGATGTTGTACATACAGGCTGCCAGTGCTGGGGAACTAGGACAGTGCAGCTTCTGCGGACGTAAGTTTCTCTGCACCAGGCTCGAGAAGCACGCAAATATCTGCAGCAAGAGCCAAGGCTCTAAGAGGAAGGTGTTTGACTCGAGCAAGGCTAGAGCCAGGGGCACAGAGCTGGAACAGTATCGGCAGTGGAAGAGCTCAGAGAGCCCTCAGGTAATGTGCAGCCCTTTTTCCACCCTCAATCTGCGTGTACTGCTCATGTTTCTCCCACCTGGAGATAGAATTCTGACTGAGATGTGAGGTCCTTCCCATGTAGACAGGGCTGGGGGATACAATCCAGCCATCCCCTCTGAGAGGCACCTGCCAAGCAGGTAAATGGAAGGAGCTGCAGCTCCTGCCCCAGCTGCAGGGAGGGGGGATCTTATTGGACTTGTCTTTGCAATGTGTAAGGGTGTACTCCCAGAGAAAACTCACTCGTCGTTGGAGTCAAGATGCTCCTGTCAGAGGGCAGGGTGGCTGTGCTGCAATGAAACAGAGACCGGTGGCATTAGCAGGGTGCAGGGAACCGGTTGAAAATCCAGGTAATATAACAGACTATTAAAGTGAAGGCAGTGAAAAAATGCAGCCTTGTTCCTACAGAGCATCTTCCTCAAGTTCCCTGGCCCTTGTTCTTCTGGGTATTCCCAAGCTTTTCCTAAGGATTGATGGAAATATCAATAAATCCTTCAAATCCTCCTTAGTGCTGGTCTGCTCCATCCCCTATGAGGAGACTCGGCCTCTTTGGGGGGTTGTTACATCAACAGCTGGGCTCAGGGAGGGGAGACCTGAGTTGGACCCTAAGAGTAAGACAGCGAGTGGAGGCTGACTGTTGTGCCAACTGCTTTGACTGCATTTCCCTTCTGCAGAACCAGCCACCTAGAAAGAACAACTGGAGGCAGAAGCACGAGTCATTCATCCAGACCCTGCGCCAGGCCCGCCAGGTGCAGCAAGTGCTCTCCAAGGGAGGAAAGGTGTCCGAGCTGCCCCTGCTGCCTCCTGTTGAGAACCCAGACTACGTTGCCTGTCCCTACTGCAGCCGCCGATTTGCACCCAAAGTAGCCGAGAGACACGTTCCCAAATGCAAAACCATCAAGAATAGGCCCCCACCCCCACCCCAAAAGAGGCGCTGATGAGGCACTGCCCAGCTATATATATGTGCTGTTCTGATTCCCTGCCTGCTTTCTGCCAGGTTCCCAGTGACACCTTGTGCTTTCCCCCACTGGCTGTTAGGGTTGAGCTAGTACGTACAGCAAGTGAACAGCTCAGGACCTATAAGCAGAATATTAAAATGTGTGTACTTTGACCTGTGCCCAGTAGTTCCTGAGCACATGTGAGGCGGTTGTGACACTTGGGATGCCCCTCTGAGGGTCCTGTTCCCCATCGTTGGTGTTCTCAACGAGAAGACTTAGTGTGGGTGGAAGGGCGTACAGTGCCCAAAGCAGGGAAGAAAGGTTGTTGCTACAGGCTGTCAACAGGACAGCAGCAAAGAACAAACCAGCCATCAGAAAGGGGCTGTTCTTCAGAATTCTATTTTGCTTTTCACTTAGGGAGGCATGTTTATTTTTTCCCTCTACTTTACAATAATGTTGTCTGGTGTGGGGTTAACTGTTCTCCCTTTTGCTCATGAGTGACTGAAGAAGTGGTTTTTCTTTTTTTTTTTTCCCTACTGCAAAAGTAAAGAGTATTGCTGTACTGAGGAGCTCAAATTGGCATGTTAGAGGCACAGCTGGGCCAGAGAATGCATCTGCCTTTGGTTTGTTCTGTAGCTCTGTGGATACAGAAGTTGACATCTGAACACGCTAACAGTGACACTGCTTCTGCCTGGTGGCTCATTCTGTAATAGCATTTTTATTATAACTACCCACAAAAGATTGAGATGTGAGGTAGGGGGAGGTCTCTCTTTTTTTTCTTTCTTTCTTTTTTTTTTTTTTCCTAGTGGAAGGATTCTATATTCTTAAAAACTATTTAGCAGTAGTTTAGGTTAGACTAAAAGAGACTCTGTCCCCAGTAGACTTTCCAGAGGGTCTACAATCACATCAGCACAAGAGTCTGTTTAGATGCTTTTCTGGAAGCCTAGTGACAATCCTGAAGACCAGCGACATATTACCTTTTAGAAATTCAGTATCCTTTTGAGTGGGAGTCTGATGACATTGCTTGAATTAGAAAAGGAGTATTGAGAGGAGTAGTATTAACTACTTCCTCAACACAAAAATCCCAGGAGCAGAAATTTGTGGGGGTTGTTTTGTATGTTGTTTCAAGATGGGCTTTGAGAAGATCCTGGAAGGAAGCGTACTGCTGAAGTTAGAAACAGGTGTGATACAGAGCATGTTAGTACCTCCAGGCGTGTAATCCTTATCAGCACTTGTTGTATAAAGCACAAGCAACAGATCAGAGAGAGTTCTGTGCTTCAGTGTATCACTTTCAGGAGCTGAGATGGAATTTCCTTCCCACTACCACCTACCCTTGATTCCTAACTTGGTTTCTGATTATTTTTTTTAAAACTTTCATCTGCAACTAAGAATTGCTACAGCTAAAAGAGAAGTAACCAGACAGTACACTTAGGAGCAAAACAGCTGCGATGTTTTCCTATGTGAAGTTCCTATGTTCAGGGTTAAATCAAAATTTACTATCCAAAAAATTGAGTTTTTCCTCTCAACCAGATTCCTCTAAAACACAAGGCTTACACGCTTCCTTGAGTCACCTGGTTATTTCCATCTTTTCTACTGCAATGGTAGGGAATTATGACAAAAATAATGCCCTTTCCCTTGCTTTCTTCCTAAGATGCAAACTGATTCTAGGCAATTTTGGCCTTATGCTGGAAGTCTGAGTTTCTCATGCACTGTTAAAAGGTCTTTGGGGAGGAAAAGTGTCCTATAGATACTTTTAGGGAAGCATCTGTTTGTAGTTGGTGACGGTTGCTGATGCACATTTTTAAGCCAGTTTATTTCAAGATTCTGATTTTTAAGACATTATTAGACTAGTTCTGTTGTGTAAAAAGCCATAGTAAATGGTCATAAAGTATTTTTTTTGTTCTCAGAGGGTTGATTACATGTATGAGAAATCTGCAGCAGGAAGCAAACAAGGAAAAAAAAAAAAATTCCAGCAGCTCCTTTGGCAAGCCTTTCAGTAGTGCAGCCCCAGCTCATGGGAGCCTAGAAAAAGATAAAAAGGGACTAGATTTAAGTGGGTTAGTTGGAAGCTGGAATGCAATGGGTGGAACAGATTCCTGAAAAAAGTTGGAGTGCTTCTGCCTACAGCTGTGTGGGCAGAAATCCTAATACCTTGGCACACCCTAGACAAATATGAAGGTCCCAGAAAGGATCAGTGCTGCACGGGGCTGGCCAGGTATGTATGAGAGTGTATAAACCTAGAGAGGAGAGAAAACCAGGCCCAGAACAATGGAAAGGAATTTGGTATATCCAAATGGATGAGAGAAGCAAGAGCAATGCTTTAACTTCAGAGCTTATTAATAAATAATAGCAAGAGGTGACAGGAGAAGAGGAAGGAAAGGAGTAGACTGGAAGCTTTATGCCAGCCTCCTCATTCATGAAAGGTGTAACTGAATTAAACAAAGAGCAGTCAAGATATTCAATACCCCTGCCTGTCATGTAACGTTAACTCCTTTTCCCTTGCAGTAGCTTTTATTGACAGTGTTTGGTGGATCCTAAAAGTCAGCAGGATGCAAATGGTGGCTGTGGTAGATACACACACACACACACGCAGAGGCTTCTGGTACTGAAAAATAAATCCATCTGCTGGGGATTTCTCTTAAGTGACAGACAGGCAAAAATGGCTAATGCTGTGATAGAAACTGTAGATTAAACAGAAGTTGTTCAAACTACCTTACCAGACTTAAATTGTCATCTTTGTTTCAGAGTAAACCATGGGCAGTTCACCCCTTTTCGCTGAACTATTGTTTCAGGTTGTTTGAATGAACACCTATAAAAGTAACACCGCAGTATCCAGAAAGTCTCAGGTAACAGTTTTAAAACTTACTAATAGCTTGGCCACAGCATAAGGCTCAACACAAAGAGATTTACCCTACTTCTTTGCTATCGTGATTAGTGTTATCCTGATACTACTCAGGCTATCTTACTCAAGCTGGCTCAGTTTCCTCTTCTGCTACTGCAGTACAAGCCCATTCTCAGAGACATACAGCATTTTTATTTTTTTTGAATCTCTTGTGAATTAGAAATCTCTCACCCAATTCTGCCTGTGAAGGCATTTCATAATTTACTGAAAGCCCTGATAACAAGTGAGAAGTGACAGACATAAGTACAGTGTGCAAGAACAGCTAGCCGAGCAGGTGTCAGCCAGGTTCTTGCTCCAGAGACTAAAATGCTCAGCAGAAGCTGTTCTGAGAGAAACAGGTTCTTCCCTTTGAGCCTGTCTCTTCCTCTTACTCATTTCCCACTTGGCACCAAAGCTGTTGTAAAACCAGCACATGCTAAAGCCCCTTGACGTCACTAGGAGAAGATGAAGCAGCAGCAAGAGAAGAAAGGCTTAAAACAAAAAAAAACAAAACAAAACAAACAACACAACCCCACACACAAAGGGGCACAGAACCTGACGTTTTTTCCACAGTAATGAACCTGCAAGCCCTTGGCTCTCTTTCTGTAGGCAAAAATCAAAACATAACTCCAATATCCCAGCTGTTTATATGCATACTCCCCCTTCCCGTCCTGCAGAGAGTCAGAACACAGGAGAATGAGTTTAAACATTTATTTAAACAGAAACTCCAAACCACTCCACCCTTTAACCTTTCAAAAAAAAAGACAACGACAAACTAGTTTTTCAGCCAGAGTGTCAGAGCAGGCATAAGTTGTGTTCCACTATAACAATTCACTAGCAATACTAGCAGGAGACTGACACATATGGAGCTAGCACTGCAAGAAGGGGAGAAGTCACAAGGGTTTGAAACTGCTCAAAGGCACTTCTGCCCACTTGCCCTTCCATTTTCAGCCCAAGATGAAGGTGCTGGCTTTAAACTGTTTTTTTTTTTTGGTTGCATAGCTGGCTGGTGTGAAATCTGTGGTCTGTAATAGGCACAACCTGGATAGCGTGAATCCTCTAAGGCACATATGAGATTGCGGAGCACAGGGCATCCTCTGTCAGGGACCCTAATCCTCCACTAGATCCAAGGGGAATCCAGTCTGTGCACCTAGCTTCCCAACTGCAGAGCATTGAGAAATGAGGATAGCAGTGCACTGCAGGAGAGCGACTCCCATCTGCTCGGTGCTTGCTTATTGGACACAGCTCAGCTCTTCACTCCTCAAAGGCACTGCTGCGACATGACTGACTCATTCATTTCCAACAGCAACAACAGCCATCAAGCTGGGACCCTAACCTGAGAACTGGCTCCAACACACATGGTGGAAAGGAGGGCAGAGTCACAAGGGCAACCCAGGAACGTGGCCACGCCAGGGCACAACGCTCACCACCTCCCAGGAGGACTGTCCTCCTGCCCTTCCTTCAGCAACGACGGACAGACATACTGGTTCTATCCTTGCCCTGGACACTGCACTGTAGAGACTGCACTTGATTGAGCTCTAAGATACTAGCGACAGGCACCAGAGAAAGTTTTTAAGGAGCATAAATTACAAGCAGAATAGCTTGGCATTCACCTCTAGAGACAAAGGGGGAACGCTAGGTCCCCAAGAACAGTCTCTCAAAGGAAAAGGTCTAGGAGAGGGTGGTAGGACAGCCATCCCCAATAGACCCAAGGCAATTATAGTGATGGGGATGATTTAAGGATAACAAAATCACAACCCCACTCTCACAGCAGCGGTGAGAGGGACTCAGGACTCCTTAGACTTCACGTAAGGTGGGGGGAGGCCAGCTGCTCCTGGGAGACCCACCAATCCCCCAGGCTTCGTTCAAAATCAGTTTACTGAAAAAATTTAAGGGGAAATAAAATTAGCCTCATTATCTAATAGGAAATGAGGAAATTCTGAGCATCAGACCATGCCTCTTCCCATCTCCAATTTCTTTGGGAAAGCCTCTTGCTTCTAGAAGGAGGGTGAATTCCAGCCAGAGACTTGATCATCCACAGTCACTGGGAAATACTGCATCCTGTGACCACGGCATTAATGACTTATTCTGGGTAGGAAATGACATTCCAGCTTCATCAAAACACTGAGTGGAAAAATACTGATTCTTCCCACACTGAGCATGGGTGCCAGGGGCTGAGCAGAACAGAAGCCAAGCAGGGGGCAGCTATGGACTTATGCCAAGAAACCAGAAGCTCTGGCACCCAAACCAAGTTGAACAGCTGGAGGAAGAAATGGGCGATTTAGTCTGAGACCCAGACACTCGTCATCCGGTTAGAAAGCAAGTGGTCTGAAATTGAGTGCCAGAGATCCCATCTCAGACAGTCCCCTCTGCCGCTGCTGGAAACAACACCTGATTCACTTGTCTCTGTGCAGTGCCTGGAAGGTGGAAAGCTTTAGGCCCCCAGAATAAAGCCTTTAAACTCTCTCCATACTGGCCACTGGGCACAGCCATGAGGCCAGAAGCTATGTCTCGAGGCCAGGGACATGCTGTCTCCTGTTATCTCCCTAACGGGAAGATCTCCACTGCCTCCAGAATGAGACGTTCTCTGCTCTCTCTGCCCCTGAACAGAGGGGAACAGCCTCACTGGCTGGGCCTTACCACATGCTAGGGAGAGGATCCAAGTCCTTCAACCCTCTAAAGAGAGGGTAGCGAGCGTCAGGGTTCAGCCTGCTTTGGTAAAAACATGTTTCCTCCTCCTCACACCTAGAAATGCAGTGATGAATACTGGGGTCCCAAAGGCAGCTCCCAGGAAGCAGTGAAACAATGAAAGGGCCACAAGCTGCTACTGGAGCCATCGCCATGATGGGGCCGTTCTGCCTCATGTGCAGAATTGACAGATGAGGTACAAAGAGGAGCTGCTGCTGCTTCAATCACTGAGCTGGCCTGGAGCTCAGGGGCCCTCCCCCTCTCAAACTCACTCCTAGTTCATATCAAACATACATGGGTGCTGCTCTGGAGCCTCCGGCCTCGCTCCTTGTCCGCGAGTGACCTGAAGCCAGGAAAGCCGCTCTCTGCATTCGGTTAGTGTGCTGTGAAGTTAGATGGATCCCAGTGGGCTCAGGAGACTAGAGGCTGGAGCGGCACGAGTCCGTTCCCAGGAGACACCAGGAATCTGAATCCAAGTCAGGTTTTGGATCTACTTCCATCTCCTCTTTGGCTGTCTGGGTTCCTTTGGAATGAACCTCTACCTGTCAAACACAGAGCAACTCTCAGATCAGCTCTGAGACTGGCTGCAAAGAAGCTAGGAGCTGCACAAGGCAACTCCTGTTCTCCACAGCCATCCGGGACTCTCCACAATATCTGACTACCAGTAGTAGAAATAAAGGAGAAATAAAGGGGAATCCCAAATCCCTGAAGGGCTGGGCTGTCCTCACAGGAAATTAACTTCTTGGCTTTATTCCTGTTATTACTACCAGAGCCTGCATCAGCAGCTCCACCAAGCTTTGCTCTAAGAGAGTAGACTGTTAAGAGCTGCTTCCTTTTCTGCAGCCTCCACAGGAGCCAGGATCAGGATCCTGAGCCCTCAGCACAGGCATGCACCCAGAGCGCCAGCTGATGGGTGCTCACCTGCTGCACTCCCTCCGTCCCCCGGCAGAACCTCTGGAGCTGTGCGTTCAGACGAACGGTTTCCTGCTGCAGCTTCTTCTGGTCATCCAGACACTGTAAGACCAGGCCCCGAAGGTGCGCCACTTCTGCTTGCAGAGCGTTGCACATGCAGCCTGTGACAGGAGGCACGGCCTTCTCTCCATCGCATGGCAAGGCTGGACCCAGACAAGCGGGCTGCAGAGACACAGAGCGGAATCAGAGCAGGCTTGCGTGGAAGGGAACTTTTAAGCCAAGCGTTGCATATGCCACAAGAAGAGACCATGCACAAAAGGTTATCACCCCAGCTGAGTCCTGACTTTCAAAGCATCTAGCAGCTAGACTCTTCACTACCAAGTCACTATTTTCCTCCTTTTTCTGGGAAAACTGATCTTGTGCTCCCATCACCAAAATCCATCTGGTCTACCCCCCTGCCTCTAAGACTGGGATCTGCGCCTCCTCCTGGGACAGATACTCCTGGAATAAGGCATTCTCACAGGTTGCAATTTCTCAGTGATTTCCTAGTTAATCACTCTTCCTTTCTATCTCACAGCAATTTATGTTTTTCTAAATAAATTTTTAACTTTTGGTAGGCTTCTGGGCCTCAGGCTTCTACATTTTCAAATGCATTAACTACATTTTTCCTCAGAATCAATGTCCCCTTTTTTTTTTTTTTTTTTTTAAATCTGACCAAGCCCCTGCTTCATGTTCTAAACCGCCTTGAATTGTTCTCTTCACGGTATTTGCAGCATCATCTCTGATTATCAACACCCTTCTTTTGCTCTTCCAGTTGAATTAGGCCAATCCAACGCTCCCTTCCCAGCTCTCCCCATAATTCAGACGTTGCTGTTTATGGTCCCAGGACCTTTTGGCCAAGGTTTCACCGTGGGAGACTTAGATAATGTTACCCAGGCCTCTGTTTTGGGCTTGTTGAATCCAGCAGACTCCTCAGGTGCCACTTTGAGTCCTTGAAGTTCCTGGTAAGGGAGAGTCTCCTTTTCAGGCTCTGAAGATGCCATGCTCAGAGGAAAGGGGCTGTCAGGCATGGGGATGAATTCAGCATTCTCCAGCTCCTGGACACACCAAAGCAGCACTGTTAGGCCTGCCTGCTTCTCTGCAGCTGACTGAAGTCTCCTCAGCCAATGCACCAGCACCCTCTTCTGGTAAAAAAAGGCAGCTACGGCTAAAGGTCTTCACACAGGCACAGCTTGAAG